CCATCCTTAGAAATTATAATTAATACTATTAATATGTATACTACCTGTTGAGATCTGGGAAATTGAGAACATAACCTGACCACAGCAAAACAGGAACAAGGAACAGCATGCAAACAAAGGCTGAGCAGACAGCCTGCAGTATGTGAGTGCCCTACTTAGAGCAAGATACGCAGATTGTAATCTGTTTAGTTTTGAATTTTGAAACCCCACCCTGTTCCCCTGCGCAATCTCTGTCAGCAAATAGCTAACTGCTTCTGTTCAGCACGTGCTTGCTCGTCCCTATATAAGGACTTAGCTGTAAGCGCTTGGCGCGTCTCTCATCTGCAGCCCTTTTGGGCACCGTGTCTCCGGACACCCCGAGAGTTCGCCCCTGTGCAGGTTAAGCTTGGCCAATAAAATAAGATCAAAACCCTGAAAGGTCTTCGAAAATTATTCTCGTGTCCAGTGGATATAATATTACCCAAGCAATCTACAGAGGTAATGCAATCCCTGGCTAAATAACAATGGCATTTTTCACAGAACTAGAACAAATAATCCTAAAATTTGTATGTAGCCACAAAAGACACTGTATATAGTCAAAGGAATTTTGAGAAAGAAAACAAAGCCGGAGGTATCATGCTCCCTGATTTGACTACAAAGCTACAGAAATCAATAGAGTAGGTACTGCCACAAAAACTGACATACGGGTCAATAGAACAGAATACAGATCCCAGAAATAAATCCTCAATATATGGTTATAACATACAAACAAAGGAGGTAAGAATATACAATAGGAAAAGATAATCTCTTCAATAAGTAGTATTGGGAAAATTGGACAGCTACATGCAGAAGTATGGAACTGGAACACTTTTTTATACCACATACAAAAATAAACTAAAAATGGATTAGAGACCCAAAACCATGAAGTTCATGGAAAACAGGCAGTAAACTATTTTGACATCAGTCTTAGCAATATTTTTTTTGGATGTGTGTTATCAAGCAAGGTCAACAAAAGCAAAAATAAACAAACAGGACTACATCAAACTAAAAGCTCTGTACAGTGAAGGAAACCATCAATAAAATAAAAACTGTCAACAAAATGAAAAGGGAATCTGCTGAATGGGGGAATATCTCACAATGTAATACCTTACGTTGACCAACACAGCAATTTAAACTAACATTTGGTGCTGCCACATATTTATTATCCTGTTGATCCTCAGATCGACTCTAGGGAGGCACTATTATTTATTATTATTTTACTTTACAGCAGAAGAAACTAGTCTTCAGAAAAGCTAAATGATTTGCTCCAGGCCTCAGCAACAGGTGGTACTGGGAAGCACTAACAGATACAAGGTTCAGTGACTTCTCCATTCAAGACATACTGCCTCTCTGGTAGAAGGGCACACTGCTTAGCAAGCACATCGAATCATTCCTCATGTGGCATAGATGAAACCTCAGCTGTAAATCAGAAAAACAATGTTCTCAGTTTCCTCCTTAACATACAGCAATTCTATCAATAATGTCTGGGAATAGTTAACTGCAGAGGATTAGAGTGTCATTTCTACATGGGCTGGCTGGCTTTGTTCTTCATGGCTACAGACAATACCCCATTTCAGGAGGTCATTTTGCAAATAAAGGTTATACTAATCAAGGGAACAAGAGTGCAGAAGACTCTGTATAGGTCTGTGACAATTTATTCACTAGATCACAGCACCTGGCATATAGTAGGCACACAGTAACAGTCTGCTATACGAATGGAGAAAAAAATTCTTCACATGATGGAAATTAGTGGAATCAATGCCCTCTTTTAGGTATTTTATATCAATTTTAGGGTAGTTATTAAGTGGATTCTGTCAATGTGCTATCATTCTTACAAACTCATTAGTAATTTTCTGAGCACCTACGATGAACCCAGAATAATCTGGATGTTATGAGAGAAACAGAAGTGATAAAAATAATAGCTAATATTATTGTATGCTTCCTACATGTTAGAATTTGTTAAGTGCTTTTGATAAGATTTTCACTTAAATTTCACTGGAACCTTGTAACATCCTTATGAGGTAAGTCATATACAAGTCTCATTGTATAGATAAGGAATCTGAAGCTTAGAGAATCAACTTTCAAAGTCATAAACTGGGACTGGGATCTAGGTAATCCCAGTCCAGAGTCTAAACTTTATTCCATTAGATTGCCTTGTACTATTAATAGGAAATAGTACATTTGAACTCAAGGTATTCACAATTTTGTAGTAAAGGTTAAAATTGCAGCTTTTTAGAAGTCCTTAGGCAGAGAAGAAACCTTGGCATTCTCTTTGGAAAGTCTGGCTATTATTTGTCCATTCAAATGTTTATTGAGTACCTATGTACTAGGCATCATAGTGGATCCTGTTGTGGTTTAGGGAAATTCATTTGGCATCCATGGGCTAATCAGAATGATGGAAGATCAGCTAAAATTGCAGTTATCCAGCAGTTCTGGAATCATAAGAAAGAAAGTAAAGAGAGAATGTGGACAATACTCATTTATTCGGCAAATACTTATTGTAATTCCTGTACTATGTACAAGGCTCTGTGTTAGGCGGTAGGGATAGAGTAATGAATAAGCCTTCATTGAGGCTTATTCTATTGTGAATAAAGGTGGGAAAGACCATTAAGCTTTTTCTTATCCCTCAAAAAACCCATTTTATTATCAAGATAAGGGCCATGAAAAGTATGAGTGCTAAGGTAGTGGATTACATTAACCTAACATAGTCGAAGGGGTTAAGGGAGGCTCCCTTGAGGAAATGACATATTAACTGAACTCTAAAGGATAAAGGAATTTACCTGGGTAAAGAGGAGAGGCATAGTTGGAGAAAGAGAAAGGCGTGGATGAAGGTCCTAAGGCAGAATGGATACAACTCATCTGGCTGGGATGGGAGAGAGGTTTGTAATCAGGTTGATAGACAGGTAGCAGCCAGAATGCACAAGGCCTTCTTATTTTCATTAAAAAAAAATACTACTCTGGCTACACGGGGGAGAATGGATTGAAGAGGGGCAAAAGTAGATGAAAAGAAGTCAGTCAGCAGCTATTTTAGAAGCCTAAGCAAGAGTTGTACTGGTGTGGACTCTGTGATAGCAGCAGAAATCTTCTTAATGGCTTGGATGTTTGTGCAAGAAGCAAAATGTCAAGGAGTGTACTTAAGTATTAGCCTTCATCAAATGTAAGGATAGTTCTGTTTACCAAAATATGGGTGACTGACTGGAAGAGGATCAGGTTTAGTAGGAAAGCCCATGAGTTCAGTTTGGGAAATACTGAGTTTCAAGTGGTTGTAAATCATCCAAGTAGAGATTTAAGAAAGTAGCTGACTACCCTGGCCTGAAAATCAAGCCATTGGATTTTGGCTGAACTGGAGCTCTAAATTTGGGAGTTATCAACAAACATATAATAGGTGGAACCAAGTTAGTAGACAAGCTCACTTAGGTAGAGACTACAGCATGAACACAGACTAGGATTGTATCTTGAGGAAGTCAAACATTCAAAAGACCTGGTAAAGAGAACACTATACGGGAGACTGTGAAACAGCAACTAAAGAGGAAGCCAGGAGAAAGTGGTGTTGACAGACCAAAGAGTTGGTCAACAGAGTCAAAAGATACTAAAATCACATAAAATGGGAATGGAAAAATGCCATTGGGTTTAATGACCTAGGAGCCACCTGTGATCTCAGAACTGTTCTGCGCAGTGGAAGAGGTAGATATCAGAAGCTCTTACTTGGACCCGATCAATATTCATTTCTAGCCACCTGACTTCTACCTTATATAGAAGAGTAACATCATCTGTACATTAACTCATTCTGGCTCAACTATATGCACTCATCATCTATATCTCTCATATACATATGAGTGATTCCACTGGCCATTCCACTCCATGAATTCATGTGTGTAGTAGTGCAAACACTGTAAGATGGGAGACAGGAATCTACTCTTTAGTCAATTTCAAAGTTCCTCCTGTCCCTTTTACCACGAGCACTTTGCTGACCTGAATGTGATTCTACTGTTGACTTCACCTTTTGCCTGCCTGACTTGCAATACTTCAGCTGCTCCATCTTGTTGCCTCTAACTGACCTGCTGGAAAAAAAGGCAAATACAGTACTGCACATAAATACAGGTACTGCACATAAAAACTCAATATATTACACACATTAAACTGTGTCTAGTGTTCAAGTTTACTTTATTAATTGTAACACGTCTTGACTGCACAATTAAATTCTATGCTCAAGGAGAACACAGAATATGTTATTTCTACTTTGTATTATTTCTTATATCTTATTTCTACTTTGTATTATCTACGTTACACTAAGTACACAAAAATTGCCCTATGCAGTAAACCGCTTATCTCCATTTCTGCACAAAACAGAATGAAGCTGAACAAAAGAAAAAAAATCTTAGAAATAGAGACACGTTATTCTATCAAAAAATAACCTGAATAAGGCCACACAATAGTAATAAACAAAAAGTAGTAAGCTCTTCTTTCCCAAGGGCAGTGTGGGGGCTTTTCCGGTTTTCAGCAACTCGGCAGCAAGAAAACCCTGCCCTCTGCTGCCCAGTTAAGAAAAAGACCTCACCTGGGTCAACCGGTTTTGTGAAGTTACACTCGGGGCAAACCTCGAGTGAAAAGTCAGAAGGTGAGCCATGACAACACTTTCCTAGATTCTTAAAAAACTCCAACCGATACTCATTTCTCAACCATTTAAACACACGCACCCTGTCATTCAACATCAAAGTAAATAGGTTTCAAAAACAAGTTGTTTTGTTTTTTTAAAAAATCATTTCTCCCCCAGCCCGGTTGGAAGTTAGAGACGTTATCATCGCAATGGTCGGGATTTACGGGAGGTACATGACCTAGGGCCTCTGTGGTTGGATCTACGTGGGGCTGCTCTGCCGGGGCAGCAGGACGCAATCCTGTCCGAGGCGAGCAGTGATCAAAATCCCAGCTCCGCGCCTTCGGGTGACCAGTATTTTTCTGGCAAGGGGGTGGGGGACGTTTACCTGGGTCCGGTCCCTATCAGGTAGGTGTTGGTGCCCTGCAGAGTCATGGGACCCGGGTTACAGCCCAGAACGCGCACTACCCGACTGGACAGCCGCTCGATGCTTTGCAAAGTGGCTGCCATCTTCGCCTAAGCCAAGGTAGAAGCGTAGCTCTAGCTGTGACTGCAGCACAGAAAACGAAAGTGGGCCGGTGGCGGAACTACCGGTCACCCGACTGGAGTCGGAAAGGGGTCCGCCTCCATGCTGGGGGCGGGGCCAGAGGTCACGCGTCGCGAGGGAGGATCGGGTGATGGGGCGGAGACTGGTCAGTTTCTGCGCTGTGGGGGCAGGGCCAGAAGTCACGTGACGCCGCACGTGGCTTCGAGAGCGAGGGAGTTTGCCCGCGTGAGGCGTGCGGCTGCGTGAGGCGAAGCGGGGTTTGTGTGGTGCCACTTGTCGTAGAGCAAGGTGCCTTCACGGGATTTTGTTCTGGGGAGGGAGAGAGACGTTTTAACCTGGGAAATCTTGTGATGGAGCGAAGAGCGGGCAGGTTGGGGGTAGATACTGAGTTCTACATCCCGTGAAGCGGGACTGCTCCTGTGTGTAGGCAATGGTGTGTGTGTGCGTGTGTGTGTAGTAACCTGTTTATTTTTTATAATAAACAGCTGTAAGTAGTGTGTACCAAGCTCTTTCCATCTGCTAAGTGCTCTTTATAAATATCTCGTTTAACCCTCACATCAACAATTGCTCCCCGTGCTAGCGGCCTGCCCAGCGTTAGGGCTGCCTTAGACTAGAGCACTAGGTTTAACAGATTAACCATCCCAATGTTAACTGCGGCTCCCAGTTAAAAAGGTTGAGTGACAATTTACCTAAAAGAAATTGTTGAGATCCTGTGATCTGTTTCATCGAGTTTTGACAGTTGTATGTAACCACGCCCCTCAAACAGATGGTGCAATATATTCAGTATCCCAGCCCACCTCTTCTCAAAACAAATGAGGAATTAACACACGAGATGCTTGCACTTATAAAATTTAGGGCAAGCGTTTTTAACATTCTTTTTTTCCTGTGTTTCTGCAGAAAAGGCTGTATCAGTTTAATATTACAGATTTTTAAAAAGAGACAGCTGTATTATGTGTGACACATTTCCTTGCCTTGCGTAGCAGAGATGTGCTTTAAATGGCAAAATGTTTCAAAAAACTTCACTGAAATAATCATGTAAATTATCTCCTTTGCAAAGGGAGGGCAAACAATATGTCCCTGAAAACATGCGTGGAATAACCATCAAAGTTCCCTATGTCAGGAATTGTCAACTCACCAATATTTATGTACCTGTGGCCATGGATTAATGGCTGTTCAGGCAGTAATCCACCTTTGTCTTCCCTCACACTCAGAACTCTCTGCTGAAAAGTCAGCAGAACCTTTGAGAAGAGAGTGGAATAGTGGTTTCTGGACCACAGTGCTCTTCTTGAGACTCATAGGTAGCTCTTTATCCCTTAGCTTTTTTATTTTTTTTAAATTAGAATTTCCTTTGTGCTTACCATTTTGATTTCATTTAATTTGCTGCCGAATTTCTTCATTTGGCAGATGCAGAAATGGGCCTGACAAATAATTTAAAAGTTAAGTGATTCGAGTAGAGTCAAACAAATAGATACTAGCAGAAGAGAAGGAACAAGGGTAGATAGTGAACTTGGTATAGATAAGTTGAAATTGAGGCAATTGTGGAATGTCTTGTAATATCTATAGATAACTGGGTATGTGTGTTGAGCTCAGAAGACAGATCTAGGCTACAGATACAAAATTGAGTTTTTGTTGATAGGCTTAGCAATGTGACTTGAAGGTTAATTTCCTCTCCAGGAAGTAAGACCAAATATTTTTACATTCTGTTCAGTTACATTTATAGTCACTTATTATTTGCTTGCAACATGCAAAGTATTCTTGTAGACACATTGTGGGGGGTGTAAAAAATGAAAGATATGCCCTGTCTGGAGTGGCTTAGTGGACTGTTGACCTGCAAACCAAAGGGTCCCAGGTTCCATTCCCAGTCAGGGCACATGCCTGGGTTGTGGGCCAGGTCCCCAGTGGAAGGCATGTGAGAGGCAACCACACATTGCTATTTCTCTCCCTCTCTTTTTCTGTCCCTTCCACTCTCTCTAAAAATAAATAAGTAAAGTATTAAAAAAAAGAAAGGTAGCTCTTTCTAGATGCTCATAACCGGGAGGGAGAAACACATGACCTTTTATTCCCTAATATTTATTTTTCCATTCACTCAGTGCCAGCTAGATTTTCTTAATGCTCACCAGAAAATATGTTCATTGATTTTAGAAACAGGAAAGAAGAGAGAGAGAAGCATCAAAGTGAGAGAGAAACGTCAGTTTGTCGCCTCCCCTATGTACCCCTACCAGGGATTGAAACTGCACCCCAGGTATGTGCCCCTATTAGGAACCTAACACGCAAACTTTTGGTTTGTGGGACCGATGCTCCAAGCAATTGAGCCACACTGGCCAGGGCATACATGGTCATATTTTAATGTATATTTGGGTAAATGCTAGAACAGAAGCTAAAGTGATGGGATTTGAAGGAGGAAGGGGAGAATCAAATTGATTAGGAAGATTTGGGAAATTTTAAAGGTAATGGGTTTTGAGCTGATCCTTAAAGGATTGATAGAACTTCATCAGACCCCAGGAGTGTCCAGCCTGTTGGTGTCTCTGGGCCACACTGGAAGAAGAAGAAGAAGTTGTCTTCAGCCACACATTAAATGCATCGTGACATGTAATCACAAAAAAATTCTCATGTTTTAAGTAAATTTACAATTTTGTGCTGGGCTGCATTCATAGCCATCCTGGGCTGCAGGTTGGACACCCCTGGTAGATGGCAGTAGAAGGGCACTGTACACAGGCTTGGAAGTAGAAGAAATGTACTGGATGTTTGGGGGAACAGAAACCGACAGTCATATGGCTTTGGGGTATAGGGTTTGAGAAATGTACAGTTTGAAAAACGTAGGTCTAAATTAATGATACTTTGTAAATTCTTTGTCAGAATATTTCAAATTCAAGAATCTCTTTCTTTAAAACATGACTTGTTCACTTGCATATGCTGTGAGGCAAATTGTACTTTTTAGACGTTTAATTGGTAAATACAGTGAAAGCTTATAACCTAGTCAGCCTGCAAAAGGACCCATGTTGTTTCTTTACCCAATGCGAGGGTTATAAAAGGTTGTACTGTAGTCACAGTGAATCACTCTGCTGTCGATAGATTAGAAAATCCTACGTATGACTAATAGCTGATTCAGTTTCATTTTAGTCTTCGATCTTAAATGTTTCCAAACCCTTCAATGATACCTGTTTTCAATGAAGAAAAAAGATTCCCGAGATGAAGATTTTCTGGAAGAGACTGAGTTAAGGAAGGCATTTTTTATTTGACAAGTAAGTCGATATTTTGTGTGTTAAGTCTGGTGAAGAAATGAAAGTTCGCTAGTTTTTACTTTTAAAATATCTGCTTTATTGCAAAGACCTCATGTATAGTGGGCAGAGGTTATATATTTTGGCTGGCAGCCAGGGCTCAGTTCTGAATGCAATTGGATTGAAACTGTTCTGTTATGGTAGTGTCAGGAGTTCTCTAGGAAATCAAATTTTGTGGGTGGTGTTAATTCTCATAAGATGGTATTGGAATAGTGATAAACCTAGGGATAGAGATGAACTGTTCTTCATAAAAGTTATACAACTAAGTGGTTCCTGAAAGAGCCTCGGGTCCTCTTTATGAGAGCTGCTGTGTTTATTTCCACCTTGCTGTGCAGGTTTCTTTCCAGTTGGCATCGTGTCCCACCTCACTAAGTTAGAGATATATAGAAGTTGTCATATCTACCACTAATGCAATTAATAAGTTTCTTAGAAATTATTTTTCCCATCTTATAAACTGTTAGTGTTTTCCATATCCATGCCAGGTAAAGGAAGCTCTTTTTGTGAAAGCGTGATTAAAGAGAGTGATTAAGAAATGAATACATGGAGTGCTTAGGTATTATGGTCTGTATTTTTAAGGAAATCATCTACAATTAAAAAAAGGTTTGCTCATCAGAGATGACTCATGTAAACACCCAACATCTCTGAACCTTAGTTTTCTGATCTGTAAAGTGGAGCTGATAATACCTTTCTCAAAAGGATTTTAAAGGATTAAATGAAATAATATATGTAAAACACTTCACATGTAGTAAATACTCAGAAATGGTAGCTACTATTATTACTATCTGTTCTTCCACTATATGCACAATGTTTTTTTCCCTACATAGTAAAGCTGAAGAAATTACATTTTTTAGAATGATGTTAGAACAGACCTTGAGTACACATTAAACACAGCCAATAAAACCATGCTGAGGAATCCGTGCCAGTGTTTTGTGGAATCTTTGTTTCTGGCGGACATACTGAATATGTAGTACATTATACTTTTGAACTAGGTGTTCCTTCCACCTGGAAGGCCTGTCCATATGATATCCATGTGACAGATTTCCTTACTCTAACGTCACCTTCTCAGTGAGGCCTGCCCTGACCATTCTAATTAAAATTGCAACCCATCATGTGCCTGCCTGTACTCCTAATCTCTCTTAACATGCTCTATGCTTTTTTTCCGTAGCGCTTGTGTTTGAATGTAATATTTAATTTGCTTATTTATTTTATTGTTAATTGACTGTCTTCCTCTGCTAAGATTCCACAAAGGCAGGGATTTTTGTCTCCTTGCCACTTGATATATCCCAAGGGCCTAAAATAGCACATGGTGGGTTCCAAGAAATATTTAATTTGTTCAATTAAACAGAACTTTCTGATTAAATTTCATCCTACTAAAATTCATGTTTATGTTGGGCATGATGTTTTTTATTTTAATATAAGAAACCTAATGCAGGGAAACTCATGCCCTGCTATATTGGAAAAACTTATATTTTAAAATTAGTATTTTTATCCTATTGGCTACAACATTCTTGATGGGAAAAGTAGTGATCATGAACTTTTTTTTTCTGTAAGAAGTATGAAATACCTTCAATGTGTTCTGAAGGCTTTTTAACAAAATACTTGTAAGTGGTAAAATGGCAAGAACACTGTGGTAGATTGTATGTGTTTTTAGTAACTCTCCTAGCTTTTCCCTCCCAGCTTTTAAAGTAATGTTCTTTATAGAACATAGAGCATGTTAGTCTACTGAGGCTGTCATAACAGAATATCACAGACTCAGTAGTTTAAACAATAGAAATTTATTTTCTCAAAGTTCTGGAGACTAGAAATCCAATATCAGGGTATCTATTTTGATGTAAAGATTAAAGGGGGACATTTTATATGCAATATTTATTTCCATTAGAGGCACACTGTGTAAAAAATTGGGACAACCGTAATAGAATAATCAATAAAATATAATTAAAAAATAAAAATTTCTGCGAAGAGCATATGTATATTTGTGCACACTTGTGAATATTTCTCTAGGCTTGATTCCTAGATGGAATTGATGGATCAAAAGCATATTAAATCTTTTCATGGCTATTGTACCTTTGTTAAATATATTTTTAGCAGCCTTGTAATATTTCATTTTGTGAATCTACTATTATTGACAAATTCCTTATGTCTGCACATTGAGATTGTTTCCAAATTTTTGCCACTATAAATGGCCCTCTGGTAAATATCTTTGTGAGTAGTTAAGCTTTTTAAATTTCATTATTTTTTAAATGTATATAAAAATCCCTTATAAAATATGTGGACTGACAGTACATATACACACGAATACATACATACATACATATATGTATATGTATATATATATATATATCAAGATTTGTTACTAATAAAGATGTATAATCAAAAGTGTTTGGAGCCCTAAATGCTGTGGTGCAGTGGTTGGAGCATTGTCCTGTAGAACAAAAGTTCAGTCAAGCACATACAGAAGGCAACCAATTGATGTTTTTCTCTCATATCAATGTGTCTCTCTCTCTCCCTTCCTGTAAAAGCAATAAAAAATGTCCTCGGGGGAGAATAAAAAAGAAAAAAAGTGTTTGGAGACCATTTATCTATTGCATTCCTTCAGGATCTCGATAGTTATTGATTTAAAAAATTACAAACGGTACTAATTTATGGTCATATGTGACTTGTCTTAGAAAATACCTGTATTTTAATAGAGGGCAGTGTTTTTTAACTGGAAGAATCCATCTGTAGTGAGTTTCAGACTCTATTTGGCAAGTAGATGAGAGTTAGGGTAGAGAAGCCTTTTCCAGGAGAAGCATATCTGAGAAGAAACTTAGGCTTGGAAGCATTAAGTCCAAGATCAAGGTGCCAGCAGATCCAGTGTCTGGAAAGCACCCACTTCCTGGTTTGCAGGATGTTATTTTCTCGTGCAAAGAACAGAGTGAGTTAGGGTAAGCCTTTTATTTTTTATTTTTATGAAGACTTTATTTGTTTATTGTTAGAGAGAGGGGAAGAGAGGGAGAAAGAAAGGGAGAGAAACATTGATGTGTGAGAGGTACATCAATCAGTTGCCTGTCCCAAGCCCCCAGCTGGGGACCTGGCTTGCAACCCAGGCATGTGCCCTGATGGATAGAACCAGCGACTTTTCAGTTCACAGGCCGGCACTCAATCCACTGAGTGAACCAGGGCAGGGTAAGCTTTTTAAAAGGTAAATAGGCCGAGAGGAAGTTGTTTATTTGTTAGTATGCTGCCAAGAATTTTCTTTCCCAGTGTTATTATAGGAACTATATTAAGTGGTAATATATTATTATTATTTTTTAAAACAGAGCTTCGATAAATTCACAGCCTTGGGTTTTTAAATATTATACTCAAGAGTTTCAGAATCTTATATTTATATATGTTTTATTTTAGGTTTTGTCACCTGCAGTGAAGATCTTATGAAATAGAAGATTGAATAAAGCCTTGTAACATTGAAACTAAATTAGAGATTTAGAAAAGAAAGTTAAAATTAGTCACTTTGATTTTAGTGTTTCAGTTTCATAATATTTATTCTTCTAAATAGATTTAGGGAATAGAAGATACAATTCAGTGCTATACTAAAGAATGCACTAATATTTGTGTGTGTTTAAGAGAAGAAAGTAGACAACCAAGAGCTATAGTGATTCATAATGAAATATACTAAATTGAATTTTATGATGTCAGTTCTTGGCATGATAATCTATATAACTGATTTAATTGTGGACATCTGGTTATCTGTTAGGTTTTTCTATGAAGGACAATATGTTTTTGGTGTTTTAACAGTAAGCTTTATGCTCTTTGGAACACTTGTGGTCCAGTGTTTTAGTTATTCTTGGTTCAAGGCCGATTTAAAGAAAGCAGGCCAAGAAAGTCAGCATTGTTTTCTTCTACTTCACTGCTTGCAAGGAGGAATTTTTACAAGGTGAGCTTACACTTTTGATCATAAATGCCATTATTTTTCTTTTGTCTGAATAGAAAGTACCTTTCTGTATAGGTCATCAAATGTACAAAGTTCCCCTGTACACATGTAGCACAAAGGTTACTTGCTCCTTATTATTGGTATTTGTATGAGTCATGGCTGTACTGCCAGAATTCCAGGTTTACTAATAGAATGTTTTAGTTTGCCTAATTAAGCTACTTTTTCTGATAGGTACTCACCTTTTATGGGAAGACATTTCTCTGTCTTGTGATCTTTTGTTTTATATTTAAGCCTGATAATGCAAATATAGCCTATTATTTGCAACTCTGTTAGAACAGTTAATTTTTAAGTTACTTATGCCATTAGTTTGACTAAGTGAAAAATTTACTGCTGTGGAAACCATGTGGTTATCTGGTGCAGAATCAGGCATAGAACTAAAAACAGCCTTATAAATCATGTTCAAAACCTTATTTTACTAGTGAAAAACTAGAATGTAAATAGGCTCTGAGAATTCCATGATTTTCTATATATCTAATTTCATATGACCTTTTCATTATTACCTTAAGTGATTTAATTCTGTTAAAAGCAATATATATGTATATTGCTTTAAATATAAAAGCAATACTATAAATTATTAATCTAAATAAAAGAGAAAAATTAAAAACATATTAAGAGGATAACATACTATTTTGTTACAGTTAGATTTGGAATTTGAACTATTTTAATAGCCTACATAAAGGTTAATTTCAGATTCTGTCCTGTTAAACATATTAATGGCAATTAGTTGAAAGTATTAACATTTTTTCAGGCTTTTTATGTGGTAATTAATAATAATAATAAATGCCATTAAGTTTGTGTGGACATGTATAGTTTTCAAAGTATTTTCACATACTTTGTCCTTTTAAAGGCAGAGTTTTTAAGGTTATAACATGTAAGAGAAACAGAATATGCAATGAGAAAAAAGTACAGGTTTTAAGGAAGCTGGAGAGTACCTTAGGTGTTAATACTGGAAATGAATTTTGAAACTGTGTGTTCTCATTAAGATGAAAATGTTTAAAAGGATGGAATAAAAGTTAGTGCTGATAAGCATATATGTATAATAAATAAGATTTAATGAATATTCTATATGAGCAATAGTGAGAATTATGTAGTTATAATATCTAGACAAGGATAAAATTTACTCTTGTAGAGAGGTTAGAGATATGGTAGATTCTTTGTTATTTGCCATTCTATAAATATAAAAATTTCATATCTACAGAATGATTTTCATTGGTGTTTCAATAATGACTTGAAGGTACTGTAAGACATTATGTTATAAGTGATGAATTGTATTATAAAAGAAATGCAAAATTGCCTTGATTTTCATTGTCTTTTGACATCCCTAGTAATTTTTTATTGAATGTTAGACATTATATAGAAAAAATTACAGAGTCTTCAGATGATACTGTTTTACTTTTGTGGTCATTTATAATAAGCATCAATCTACTCTTGGTTTGTTCCTGGAGTGCAACCTTCTGGGCACTGAGAGCCTGCTGTGGTCTTGCTCCTTCAACATGTCCCAGATACTACTAGTCCTTATCTCCCTGGCATCACAGACTACCAGAAATTCTGCTTTGCTTTTTCAAGACTTTCTGCTTAGCTTTTAGCCTTTATCTTCCAGTTTCAAAATTTGGCAAGTGTTTTGGGGGAAAAACTGGCTGTACTTTTGAGATCCTTGTCTTCAGTCCTAAAAGATCTTCAAAACCACTGCTATTTTGTCTGTTTTCTAACAACAGTTATCTGCCTGGGAAGTGTCTAGATTTTCAACATCTTGTCCCAAGCAACAGAATCAGCGAGTACCTTCAGGCAACAAGTATCTGCAGAAACATTAGCTTAGTTTCCAGTTTCTTTGGTTGTTTTGGCAGGAGTATTGGTGAGCTCCAATATACTATATCCTAAATAGAAGCATAGTCCATAAAGTGTAGTCTTGAGTTATCCCATAATGTATAGTCTTAAGTTATTCCAACTCTGAAGTTGAAAAGAACCTTAATTTCTCTCCTAAATAATATAAAGACCTCAAAACACTTGAATTCCATGTATTGATACCATGTTGCTGGTATTTTAATTTTTGTGTTTAGTCTCAGTGGATCATATTTTTATGTCATTTTATATACTTAAATTTTATTAAATTTTGATTACACTTAGCCATATATTTTTGCTATTCTTCTTATTTTTTATTGCTTCTTGAATCTCAGACTTTCTACTCAGGATCACTTGTCTTCTGCTTCCCTGAGGTCGATAATTGCATCTACTGGGCATCCGTTGGTGAAATTCTCTCTTGATTTTTGGTTGTCTAGAAATGTCGTTATTTTATCATCTTTCTTGAGAGATGTTTTAGTAGCTTATGGAATTCTAGATAAGTACTTGGTTATCTTCGGTCTTTGTTTTACACACTCTTGTCTTTGGTTTTCATTGTTTCTCTTGGAAGTATTAGGTGCCAGTCTTTTTAAAGTATTTTGTTTTTTTATTTCCTCTAGCTGCTCTTACACTTTCTCTCTCATATTATTTTATTTTTATTTAAATTTTTAATTTGATTTTTCTCTTTGTCTTTGGTGTTCCACGTTTAATTATCATATATTGAGGTATAGGTTTAGTTCTCTATCTCGGGATTTGCTACTCCTCATGATTCTTTGAAACTTATCAGTTTTGCACAATCTAGTCATTACTTTCTAACATTTCCTTTACTGTATTTCTGGGTTTTTTTTTTGCCTTTTGGGACTGCGAGCAAATTAAAATTAGACCTCTCATTGTATCTAACATGACTTTTATATTTTAGTTATTTCAAATTTTTATTTTTTGACTATGGTCTCTGTGTCATTTTTCTGTGTAATTTTTTCATGACTTACTAGTATTTTCTTTTGTTGCAGTCAAAATGTTACTATATCTAACCACTGAGTTTTAAATTTTGACTTACAATTTTTATATTTAGAAGCTATATTTAGTTCTTTCAAGTATGCGTGTCACTTTGTATAGTTTTCTGTTCACTGCAGATATTTAGGACTTGCCGTTTGTGTCTTTAAACATAGTAAGCATAGTTGTTTAATTTACAATTTTAACATCTGAAGCTTTTTCAGGTTTGTTACTACTGGCTTTGCTTTTATTATTGGGTACTCATATTGCCTTGTTTTCGTGGTATCGGTGATTATGTTCTGGCCATTGCCCTTGAAAAAATTAATTGCGAAGCCTTCGCCAAGTCATCTGTAGAGGCTTTGATTTTATTCTTAGAGAAACAAGAGTTTGATTTGATTTTACTCTTACAGAAACAAGAGTTTCTGTAAGATGGGGTCTACACTTAAACTCATGGCTTGAGGTGCTTCCTGATTCAGTCTTGAAAGGTTGTATTTTTTAAGAAATTTATCTGTTTCTTCTAGGTTCAAATTGTTGGCTTATAATTGTATTTTTAATGATCCTTTATATTTCTATGTTGTCAGATGGGATTTCTCTTTCATTTTTTAAAAAGATTTTTAAAATTTATTTTTAGGGAAAGGGAGGGAGAAAGAGCAGGAGAGAAACATCAATGTGTGGTTGTGTCTTGCACAGTCCCTACCAGGGACCTGGCCCACAACCCAATCATGTACCCTGCCTGGGAACCGAACTGGCGACTGTTTGGTTTGCAGGCCAGCACTCAATCCACTGAGATATACCAGCCAGGGCCATTTATCATTTTATTTATTTGGACCTCTTTCTTTTTTTCTTTATGAATCTCTATAAAGGCTTGTTAATTTTGTTTATCTTTCAAAGAACCAACTCTTAGTTGCATTGATCTTTTGTTTTTTTAGTCTATGTTTCATTTATTTCTGCTCTGATCTTTATTATTTCCTTTGTTTTACTTTGGATTTTTAAAATAATTTTTAAAGAAGATTTTATTTATATATTTTTAGAGATGGGGAAAGGGAGGGAGGAAGAGAGGGAGAGAAACATCAGTGTTTGAGAGAAACAGCAATCAGTTGCCTCTCATGTGTGACCCACCCAGGCATTGGGCCTGCAACCAAGGTATGTGCCCTGACTGGGAATATGACTGGTGACCTTTTGTTTTGTGGGGCCACAGTGAACCAAATGAGCCATGCTAGTCAGGGCTTACTTTGTATTTTGTTTGTTGTTCTTCTTTTTATAGTTTTTTTAAAATGTAAAGATAGGTTATTTGTTTGTTTTTTTTTTCTTGTTTCTTGAGGTAGGCCTGTATAGCCATGAAAGTCCCTCTTATAACTGCTTTTGCTGCACCCCAAAGGTTTTGGAGAGTTGTGTTTTCATTTTCATTTGTCTTCAGGTATTTTTGATTTCCTTTTTGATCCATCGGTTGTTTAGTAGCTTGTCATTTGTGTTCATGTATTTGTGTTTTTTTTTCAGGTTACTTCTTGTAAACTTTCTAATTTTATGATATTGTGGCTGAAAAAAATGCTTGATATGATTTCAGTCTTCTTGAGTTTATGGAGACTTGTTTTGTGACCTAATATGTGACTAGTCTTGGAGTCTATTACATTAGTCTGCAGAATACACATTGTTTTCAATGTGTATTCTGCAGTTTTTGGTTAAAATATTCTATAAATGTCTATTGAATGAATTTGGTCTGGTGTGACTTTTAAGACCTTTCCTTCCTTATTTTTTGTCTGGATCATCTATCCATTGATGTAAGTTGGGTATTAATGTCCCCTGCTATTGTAATACTGACAATTTCTCCCTCTGTGTCTGTTAATTTTTAGTTTTTGCTTTATATGTTTATGCCCCTATATTGGATGGGGTGGCCCAGTATGCATATGTGTGTGGCAGCTTCATGTTAATTTTCGTCTGTGGCTGGAGCAGGTTCTGGGTTGGGCGATCTGGCGCATGTGTGCTGTGGTGCCCTTTTGGTCTGGTTGGAGTGAGCTCAAGACAGGGTGTCTGGGAATGCGCTTTGGTGATCTTGCAGATTGGCCAGAGCACCTGGGTAGAGCTCTTGCCCACACTGTCTAGGTGTAGAGTGAATG